TCAAGGGTTAAGATCCCCTTACCGGTCATCTTTTTTAAAAAAAAAAAAAAAAAAAAAAAAAACACTATGAAAATGGAAAAGTCACAGACTAGGAGACCTTATCTGCAAAACATATACCCAAGAAAGGACTCATATCCAGAAGATATAAGGAACTCGTACATTCAATAAGAAAATAACCAACTTAATTTTTTAAAAGAACTGGCGCAGCCCTGTACCCTGGCCTCCAGGCTGGCTCTTCTCTGCCCACTCTGTGTTGCAGGATGGAGAAGGTGAGCCCCCAGACATGGCCTCCCCCACTGCCAGCAGCACATACCCTGGTGCTCACCCTGTGCCCGGTCATACCATTGAGGTAGTAGCTCCTCCTGGTCCTGTCCCCAGTGGGCAGGCTGCTCTCCGAGAAGCACACCTTCTTAGGCCGGACCATCTCCCTGGCCTCCAGCAAGGTCTTGTCTGTAAGCGGGTCCTGCAAGGGGCTAAGGATTGGGGACAGCTTCCTGTCGGTGCTTCGGGGGGTGTGCAGCTCTGGGGGGCCAAGGAAGGCCTTAAAGGGTGCATGGGAGGAGGTTGCGCAACCCGGGGAGGCGTCGTCCTCGCTGGAGAGGGGGGCGTGTGAGCACAGGAGGTCCTCCAGGGAGGACGTCTGCAGCTGGGGTGGCGTGCCGGGGACACCAGTGTACCTTGTGAAATCTGGACCTGGGGCGGGGAGGAAAGGGACCAGAAGTCAGGCTGATGCTCCTAAAACTTCCCTGATTAGTGCAGAGAATACACTAACGATTCGCATACCCAACTACCAGCTCTGACACCTGCAGCATTTATCCCGGCTTCAGAGCCCTCCTGCTACCCCCCGCCCCCCGCCCCCTGTGCCTCGAGTGAAGGAGACGGTGATGGCATGGGGGAAGTGGTGCCCGCACCTGCCCGAGGGAGCGCCTGCCTCTGTTTACCAGCACAGCAAGTGTGCACACCTCCATGTGCTTCCGACCCACCTGTGCAACCACACACAACAGAGTGACTTTTATATGCTTTTTGAATTTTACATAATTGGTATTATCCTATATGTTTTATTCTGCAACATACCTTTTTGCTGCAGCATTATCTTTTTGAGGTTTACTCACATTGAGTCATTAGCAGCTACCTCGTTCATGTAACTGTTTCTAGCACATGAGCACACACACATGTATACACTCAATGATTTTTTATCTGTTGCCTATTGATGAACATGGGGCTGTTTCCAGGTTTCATTGCAAAAGCAAAGCTGTGATCGCCTGCCTGGATGGGCCTTATCGTTCACAGTGAGAGCCTCCTCTGCAGCCCACACCTGGGCTCAGGTGTACGAGCGCACTTCAAAATGTTCATTAAAAAAATAGAATTAAAACATAATAAGAACCTTTCCATGAACTTTTGAAGTACCCTCATATGTATGTTAACCTTCCTTACTTTCCATGGTAGCCGTTCCTTGCCCACCGGCAGCTCCCAATCCCGCAGCCTCACCAGCGCCTGGTGTTCCCAGACCAGGCTGACAAAGTCATGTCTCACTTCCCTAATCCCTGGTCAAATTGAATTTACCTATTCCTTCTATGGCTTATGAAATTCTTTTCTGCCCCCATGTCATGAATTTATTCTCCTAGCAATAAAGCAAATATATATTTGAGAAATAGGGTTTTTTAAGAGCTATATCAAAAAATTATATCTTAAAATGTGCCTAAGCAAGAAACAACTAATCCGCTCCCAGAAATGTTTTGCAAGAAAAATAACAGTTTAAAAAAAGAACTGTCAGTATATGCCCTGCCTCCTGCCTGTGTGGGAGCTAAGTCAGTCCTTGAGAGCTGCCAGCCTCCCACCCTAGATACTTTTTAAATTACAAAAAAATTCTGTACAATCGTATATTAATTGAAAATTTCAATAAAAGGAGAGATCTTCTAGGAAATTATTTTTAAATGACTCAATAAGAAGTAGAAAACCTAAATGAACCAATAATCAAAGAAGAAGAATCTAAAAATACATAATTATTCCCCATAGGTCTGCAGGTCCAGGTGGTCTGTGGGCAAATTCTTTCAAGTTCCCGAACGATTCATAGCCGCCACATCCACCAAGGTTGGGGCACAGGAAACAACTGAAAGATGCTCAATGAAGGTTAAAAATTTGTCATCACTCTGGTATCAAATTCCTGCAAAGACAATCCCCAGAAACAAAGTGATAGCCCAGGCTCACACAGAAGCAGAGTCAAGAAATAACTGCACAGACCCCATCCAAACAGACACAGCAGGAGACAGCCATGTTGCAGACCCTGGTGGCCGAGCCCCTAGTGATACCTCACAGACATGTCCCTCCCCCAGTGTAGAATCAGGTCATAAACACTGAGTAAATGAACTGTTTCTCACTTTTTTTGGTCCTCACAAATAAGAACTCGAAGGCTCTTCCCCAGCACCTCGCCTGTGCACCCCTCCCCACCCTAGGAAGCAGGGCCCTTTGGTCACTGCCCGCACCCGAGTAAATGAACTGTTTCTCACTTTTTTTGGTCCTCACAAATAAGAACTCGAAGGCTCTTCCACAGCACCTCGCCTGTGCACCCCTCCCCACCCTAGGAAGCAGGGCCCTTTGGTCACTGCCCGCACCTGCTAGAAGGACCAGGGCATAGGCCAAACCCTCTCCCACTTCTCCTGGAGGAAGCCCCAAAATAGTCAAGGCAAAAGCCAAAGTTCTGAGTAACAAAGACAAAGACAGAAATGAGAAGTACCTGTGCTGTCTATCTCGCTTGAGATGATCATTTATAAACAACACAATTGTAGATTTAGAGAACATACAAGAACAAACTGGAAAACTTAGAATAAAAACAGCTAAATTAAAGCTGGATATAGGACAAATATTTACAAATCAACAGCTTTCCTACATATCAACAGTGATCACTCCAAAAATACAGTGGAAAAAGAAATCTCATCCATTATCACAACAAACAGCATAAAATGTGCAAGGAATTGTTATTAATTTGTTAAACTTATTAATAAATGTGAAAGATATATATATGAGAAATAGCTAAAGAGACTTAAGAGCCAGAATAGCTTAGTATGATTGCAATGCATGGAATCATCCTACGGATATTTGCAAGAATAAATAGGTAAGAACACCATAGAAAAATGTACCAAAAGAAAATTTACACCTGCTTTCTGAACCAGTGATTCTACTTTTAGAAAAATAAATCCTGGGCCGGCCCGGTGGCGCACTCGGTAGAGTGTGGCACTTGGGAGCACGGATTCTACTTTTAGAAAAATAAATCCTGGGCCGGCCCGGTGGCGCACTCGGTAGAGTGTGGCGCTTGGGAGCACGGTGGCGGTGCTCCCGCCGAGGGTTCGGATCCCATATAGAGACCAGTCCGCTCACTGGTTGAGCGCGGTGCGGCCATCCCACCGAGGGTTCAGATCCCATATAGAGACCAGTCCGCTCACTGGTTGAGCGCGGTGCGGCCACGACACCGAGGGTTGCGATCCCATTACCGGTCACGAAAAAAGACAAAAAGGAAAAAAATAAAAAATAAATAAATCCTAACGAAACAAACATAAAAATATTTTTTAAAAAACTTTTTGCTGTGTTGTCTATTTACATCAAGGGGAAAAAAGAACTTTAATTTCAAACATGAGGAGAATTCACCAGATTGTGGATCATCTGACTCTGGAATCCTGCACAGCTATTTTAAGATATATTTATGATAACACAGGAATAATCTTATGTCATGACGTTAAAGGGAAAAAGCGACCAAGAGTTGTGCACAGAGAATACTCACGAGTGCTGGTAATCACCCAACAGTCCACCCCCGCCACCACCGAGGACTAAGAGGACAGCTGAAGGAGCCACGCACAGGTGGCCCTGGTGTCCTCCAGGTGGCGATGTGGCTCTTCGAGATCCCGAAGGAAACAAGCAGTGGGGGCGTCAAGGAGGCGGGGAGGGAGACTGCACTCCCTCTGGTCACTCGCTTGCAAACTGAGTGAGGGAAACACCCCAAGAAGACCCTGACGGGAGGCCTCTCCGGCTCGTCTACCGGGCCAGCTGTGGACGTTCGTGGTGTGAGTGAGGGAAGATGATGGCATGCTGCCCCCTCCTCTGCTAGCTGTTTAAACGTTTCAAATACATGTGGCCTCTGACCCAAGGAACCACGTTTAGGGATCTCTCCTGCACAAGGTCACAGAGGCGCAGCAACACTGACTGTGCTCACTGAGAACTGGGAACAGTGTTGCCCGTGGCGGGTCCCAGCTGAGGGGGGCCAGTGTTGAAGTGCGTGGGGTAGATATACAGGAGAGAACTGATGGGGCATCGCAGCGAGATGGACAGTGATGGGGAGAAGTCATGCTGCAGGACAGCACCATCTGTTTAGGTGAACCAGAAAGATACCCAGACACACATACGAATGTCCATCAAAAGTTCCAAAGAAACCCAAGAAAAATGTGATGCTGCTGCCTGTGGGGAGGGGCCAGGAGCACAGGCCAAGCCCTTAATGTTCTGTGCTCTGTGGTGTCCATGCATTCACCTAAGCACATGCTACTGAGTAAGTAAGAAAAATAGGTATTTATCCTGATTTCAACACAGACTCTGAGGGACTCAGTGCTGCGTGGTGGTTCACTTCTGTTCATAAACTTCTGTTTCTGCTAGAACTCAGGCTGGTTTTCCAAACTCTAGTCCCTAAAGCCAAGGCTGTGCCCTGCGGGGGATGACCTGCTTGTGGGTCAAGGCCAGGTCTGGACGCAGTGCCCTCAAGCCCCGGGCTTGCTCCCGAGCCCAGTGCCTGCCCCACAGCTTCAAGGGGGTACCACACCCTACCCGATGGAGTGGCAGGGTTTGGAGGGTGGCCTTGTCCAGGCCTCCTGTGCATGTCCAGAGCTGAGCTGGCCCCCTCCCTGCTGCCCAGCAGACCTGACCCAAAGCCGAAGGCTAGCCGGGGCCCACGCTGACCTTGCCCATGCCCTGTGACTGGGCCCAAGGCTCTCCGTGGAAGGCTTGGTGGCCTTGGGCCAGGGTCCTGAGATTGGTGTCTAGCAAGATTTGGGCTTGCTGGGGACAGCCCAAGGGCAGAGGCCCTGGCAACAGTTGGGGAGACCAGCCCTGACTTAGACCCTGACAAAGGTCCCTCCAGGGACAGCATGACTTGAGCAAGGGTCCGCACCCCTCCTTTGCAAGACGGGCCCAGAGCTGTCCACGGCTGGCCTCATGGATGGCTGTGGGCCCTAAGACTCAGCCAGGCCTAACTCAACTCTTGGGGTTAAAGACAAGGAAGCAGCACTAGGTGTACAGCCCTCTGATGGTGGCCACGCATTGCTAGGCCTGGAGACAAGCACCTTTGCAGCCCCCACAACACAACAGTGCTGCGAGTGCCTGTGAACTCAGCACTGATACTTTGCAGGATGCTGCACGTGGCCCAGCACCAAGAGCGCCAGTCCCTCCAGCAAATGCCCTGGGATGAGCCTGTGGGGCTTCAGTGGTCACTGGTGGGGGTACAAGACCCAGGGCCTTGCTGGCTGAGCCGAGGATGCTGCTTCCCCCAACCCCCATCAGCAGCAGTCTCTGCCCCTCCTGGAGCCCACACCCTGCGAGGGGCCCCTGCCTGCCCGAGCTCCCTCTCCAAGGTCCCCCAAGACTCTAGGTGTTGCACTGCTGCGATGGAGCCCTTGCACACCAGGCATGTGCTCATTCACGGGCTTTTCACCCACGAGCTCCACGTAGGGGCCCAGTGGACTTGCTGCAGCACTGGTGGGCAGAGAACGCTTCTTCTCCTATGTGCTGTGCGTGCTCAGAGGTGCACACGCCCTGAGGACAGTGGCGAGTGCCCTCAGTGGACTCCGGCAAGTGACCACACCAAACACAGGTCCCTGGAGCTTCCCCTCAGCAAGCAGCTGACCCGGCCCCCCAGGCCATGGCAGGGGTAAGTCAGAGGCAGGAAATGGGTCTCCTGCAGTCAGCCAGGTGTGTAGGGGCCGGCACCAAGGGAAGGGCAGGCTGGGCCGGCAGTGAGTGGCCACCGCGTGCAGTGGGAAGCTGGGCTGATGGGTCATGGAGTCCTCAGACAGTGCAGAGTCGGGGGTTCTGTCCACTGTCCACCAACCCCACCAAAGACCAAGGTCACACCCATCAACCACAGCCCAAGTCACGTGTTATGGAAAGGGAATTTTTCCACAAAAACCTTTAAAACAAGCCATTACTTTTGTAGGAAGTTATCTGTAAAAAGCCATAGGTTGGAGTGGACCCTGTGTGGTGATTGGGATCGTGGCCCCACACTCCTGTGAGGAGAACCTGTCCCACCCTCTCACCCCAGCAGGGACTCTACAGGGTCCCCTGGGGCAGCACCTCCCCGATGCTGGGCTCAGCTACATGGCCCAGGAGGGGGACAGAGGCGCCCACAGCAGAGCAAGCTGCCCGCATGGGCCGGGCCGGGCCGGCCGGCTGGGAGGACCCAGGGGACCTGGAGCCTGGGAGCTCCCAGCCCTCCTGCTGCCTGGCGCCACCCGTGGCTCACCCACCCCACACCATTTTCCATGTGCTGACGCTATGGCCCTGAGAGAAGGGCTTTACCTGAGGACACACAGCAGAATGGGCAACTCGGTCTCGGTTTCCTCAGACCTGAGGGCGGGGAAGGGTGCCCAGGAGTACCCTGCCAGCAGGCCGGGCCTCCGCTGCCCACGACTCCCCCCCGCCCCAGCACGAGGCGGGCCGGGCCCGCTGTCCTCACCTCCGCTGCCGGGGGAGCAGGTCTCGGGGTAGGGGGTGGCCTTGAGGAAGAGGGGCTCGCGGCCCCCACGACTGCAACTGTCCGGGCAGCTCTCACTGAGCAGCCGCCGCAGCATCTGGTTTTCCTTCAGCAGCCGAACCTGCTTCTTCAGGTCCGCGTTCTCGCTCACGAGCCTGTTCATCAGCTCGCTGCCCTCGGCCATGGCGCCCGGTGCTCACATGCAGGCCCATGGCCCCATGGAGGTGGAAATCCAACAGCCCACGGACCACAGAAACAGCCCTCACCGCGGGGTTCCGCAGCACCCACTTCCAAGGCCTTGTGATGTCACCACCCTTAAAGCCACAGTGCCACCCACCGGTGCCCCCACCCTCACCTCAGACATGCCCCTGGTGTGGCCCGAGAAGCCAGAGGCCATGGAGTGCACGGGCAAGTGCCTCGCACCGCCGAGTGGGCCTGTGAGTGCCAAGAGAGTGCAGGGAGGGACACGGGCTACAGGGACGTGGTGACTTTGGGAGGAAAGCCCAAACGTGGGGACAGCATGTGCCAAGGCCCCCAACCAGAACATGCCAGATGGGGCAGCTGGGGGTGGGGCTCCCACACCTTGTGGCTCCTCAGGCTGCAGGGGGCTCTGCCTTCACCCTAAAGAACCCATGGGGCCGTCTCTCCCATGGAATGTGCCCACAAGACAGTGGGCCCCGTGCAGTTTTTCCTGACTCCTGGGGCTGGCACAGGTGCCTGAGGGCAGGCTGGTTGGGCCCCCCAGAACCTGGGGTAGTGTCTGGCTGTGGATGTCCTATGAGCTCACTCTTGGGAGCTTGAGGGTGGGGGCAAGTGGGGGCAGGAGGAGGCAACCAGGATGGCAGCCCCCCGACAGCCCCACAGCCCCAGGGAGCTCTGGGAGGGCCCTAGAGGGCTGGCAGGGAAGGCTACCTACTGACCACCTCTGCTAATGCAAAGGGCCCGGGCAGCACATCAGGGCCAGCACACAGACCATGAGTACTGAGCGTCTGAGACACCAGCCGCTGCTACAGTAACTTTTCCTAACTGGACCCAACTGAAGATCCCCCTCCTCCCGCCAACGGAAAAGGGACCCTCTGGACCGGTCACATGCAGACCTGTGCTCACAATCTCACTAGGTGCAGGCCGAGACACCAGCCACTGCTACAGTAACTTTTCCTAACTGGACCCAACTGAAGACCCCCCTCCTCCCGCCAACGGAAAAGGGACCCTCTGGACCGGTCACATGCAGACCTGTGCTCACAATCTCACTAGGTGCAGGCTTCTGTCCTCACCAGTGTGACCTCCACAAAAGACACCTGGCTCCCTGCTCCTCTGGCTGCTTAGGACAGTTAGCAAACACAATTGTTTCTTGGCTCTGGAGGTCTTGTTTTATCAGGAGTTGAGAGGCAACAGACGAATCATCTCCAGATCCTCCTGAGACAGGATATAGTCCAAAAAACACACACCAGCGTGTCTTCCAGCCCCGCCACCTCGAGGACACTTGGGTGTAGGTGGCAGGGAGGTGGCCCGAGGTGAAACAAAATCTTCACTCAGCCCAGACCATCCACTCAGGGGAATGCTGCTTCCAAAACAGAAAATCTCAAGACAGGCTTTGAGGAGAAAGGGGATTTCTAAATCCCAAATGTTCCGTAAGCATCTGAGACCAGCCTAGCTGCTCTCATCTCAGAGCCCATGAGGAGCGTGTGTGAGGCCTCCAGGATGGAGGGAGGAAGAGGCAGGTGAGTCACAGCAGCCACCCCCACACTGACTCCTCCCTGAGAAGAGGCCAGCGGGGACTTCAAAGGCTCTTCCCATCATACTTAAAATGCCATCTTTCCGGCTCCAAGAAAACCTCTTGACGTCATGTCCCCTCTGGCCACAGACCTATCAACATTCCACCAGTTTTCTGATGATGATGCTTTATCCTTTTAATATATTGCTGGATTCAATTTGTTAATGTTTGGTTGAGTATTTTCATGTTCATGGGGGAAACAGATGTAATTTCCTATTCTTGTAATGTATTGATCTGGTTTTTTAACACTGGCCTTTTAAGATGGGTTGCAAAATGCCCCTACTCTGTTTTCTGGGCATTTGTGTCAGGGTGTTATTTTTTTCTTAAACATTTGATAGAATTTCCCAGTGGAGCCATCTGGGTCTAGATTTCCTCTGGGAAAGTTTAAAATTTCTAATTAAATTTTGTAAATAAATATAAGGCTACTTGAATTTTCTATTTCTTCTCACATCCATTTTGATAACAACTGTGTCTTTCAAGGAGTTTGTCCATTTCGTGTTAGCACTGGGATGCTGGCACTTAGTAGCTCAGGATATTCTCTCATCCCATATTCCCCTTGGCAGTCTCACCCCTTCAGGGACAAACAGTCCTAGCCCAGGTAGGAAAACAAAACATGAATGTGGAGAAACAGCTTGAGCAGGTTTTTTCGCAGGATGTACAGAAAGCAGAGCAAGCAGGATCCAGAAAGAAGGTTGGCAGGCTCAGAGGGGCAGGCTGGACAGGAGGCTTGGGGGTGACCCGGCCAGAGCAGCACATGCAGCAGATCATGCTGGACAGTAGGCTCAGTGTCTGTAGTGACGTGCCCTTTTCTATTCCTGATATAGGCTGTTTTTTTACTTGACCAGACTGGACGCCTGTTAGTCTTTTCAAAGCAGCAGCTTTTACTGTTTTCTGTTGCATTTGACTTCTGCTTGTATATGATTTCCTTCCTTCCATTTATTTTGGCTTTAAACTTTTTTTTTTTCCTTTTTGTCTTTTTTCGTGACCTGTAACGCGACCGGCAACGGGATCGCAACCCTCGGTGTCACGCCCGCACCACGCTCAACCAGTGAGCAGACCGGTCTCTATATGGGATCCAAACCCTAGGCGGCGCCCGCCGCGCTCCCAAGCGCCGCACTCTACCGAGTGCGCCACCGGGCTGGCCCAGCTTTAAACTTCTTAAGGTGAAAGCTAACATCATTGGGCCGACCCCGTGGCGCACTCAGGAGAGTGCAGCGCTGGGAGCACAGCGACGCTTCCAGCGCGGGTTCAGATCCTATATAGGAATGGCCGGTGCGCTTACTGGCTAAGCGCGATGCGGGAGACACCAAGCCAAGGGTTGCGATCCCCTTACCGGTCACGAAAAAGACAAAAAAAAAAGAAAACTAACATCATTGATTTTAAACTTTTCTTACTTTTTTTACAGCATGCTTTTGTGCTTTCAACTTTTTCTTTTAAAGACTTTATTTTTCTTAGAGCAGTTTTAGGTTCACAGCAAAGTTGAGAGGAAGGTGAAGGGATAACCTATATATATCCCCCTGCCCCCACAAATGCGCAGCCTCCCCCACTGTCAACATCCCCCACAAGCACGGTACATTTGTTACATCTGATAAAACCACATTGACATCTTTATCACCAAAGTCCAAAGTCTACATTAGGATTCATTCTTGGTGTTGGACATTCTATGGGTCTGGACAAACATATCGTGACATGTGTCCACTTTAGTATCATTCAGAGTAATTCCACTGCCCTAAAACCCTCTGTGCTCTGCCTGTTCATCTCCTCACTTCTCCCAACCCTTGGCAACCAGTAATCTTTTCAGTCTCCATAGTTTTGCCTTTTCCAGACTGTCATATAGGTGGAATCACATAGTATACAGCCTTTTCAGACTGGCCTCTTTCACTTAGTAATATGCATTTAGAGTTCTTCTATGTCTTTTCATGGCTTGATAGCTCACTTCTTATTAGCGCTGAACAATGTTCCAGTGTCTGGATGTGCCACTTTTTTTTAATCCACTCACCAGCTGAAGGACATCCTGGTTGCTTCCAAGTTTTGGCAATTACAAATAAGACTGCTATAAACATCTGTGTGCAGGTATTTGTGCAGGCATAACTTTTCAACTCCTTTGGGTAAATACCAAAGAGTGAAATAGCTGGATCACGTTTAGTTTTGCAAAAAACTGCCAAGCTGTCTTCCAAAGTAGCTGTACCATTTTGCACTCCCACCAACAATGAGAATTCCTGTTACTCCACATCATCACCAGCATTTGGTGTTGTCAGTGTGCTGGATTTTGGCCAATACAATAGCTGTGTCAGGCGTATCTCATTGTTTTAATGTGCATTTCCCTAATGACATATGATGTAAAGCACCTTTTCATGCTTATTTGCTATCTGCATATCTTCTTTTGTGAGATGCCTGTTAAGGTCTTTGGCCCATTTTTCAATGTTTGTTTTTCATTGAATTTAAAGAGTTCTTTTGGAATTTTTACCAGATTATGTCCTTTTGCAAGTATTTTCTCCTAATCTCTGGCTTGTCTTTTCATTCTCTTGACAGTGTCTTTTACAAAGCAGAAGTTTTTAATTTTAATAAAGTCCAACTTACCAATGTTTTATTTCATGGATTATGCCTTTGGTTTTCATATCTAAAGAGTCATTGCCAAACGCAATCTCATCTAGATATTCTCCTGTTATGTCCTAGGAATTTCAGTTTTGCATTTTACATTTAGGTCTATGATTCATTTTGTGCTAATCTTTGTGAAAGGTGTAAGATCTGTGTCTAGATTCACTCTTTCTGCATGTGATGTCCAGCTGTTCCAGCTCCGTTTGTTGAAAAGATTGTCCTTTCCCCATTGAATTGCCTTGCTCCTTTGTCAAAGATCAATTGATCATGCTTATGTGAGTGTATTTCTGGGCTCCCTATCCCGTCCCATTGATCTGTTTGTTCTTTCATCAATACCATGCTGTCTGGATCACTGGAGCTCTACAGTGAATCGGGCAGCATCAGTCCTCCAACTTTGTTCTCCTTGCTTTCCCCTTTGACCACAGATTATTTAGAAGTATGTTTTTTGTTTGTTTGTTTTTTAACTTCCACATATCTGGGATTTTCCAAATCTCTTTTTGTCACTGATTTCTAATTCCATGGTGGTCATGGAACATCCTCTGTATGGTTTCAACCCTCAATTTCTCGGGAATCGTCTCATGACCAGCATATGGCCCATCTGGTGAGTGGCCATGAGCACCTCAGAAGGACATGCACTTCATCACTGCCAGGTGGAGTTTTCTGTAAATGCCACTGGCTCGTGTTGGTTGATAACGACATTCCGATCTCTGTCCTTACAGATCTTGTGCCCATCAACTGCTGAGACAAGTGTTGAGGTCTCCCTCTGCAACTGTACATCTAATTCTCTCTTCAGTTCTGCCAGTTTTACGTCAAATATTTTGAAGCTGTGTTAAATGTCTTTTTACTAATTTGTGGTACTATTCATTTTCCCGAAGTCTACTGTGATATTAATACAGCAATTTTGCTTTCTTAAGATTAGAGTTTTTATGGCATATAGTTCTCTAAGCTTTTACTTTTAACCTGCATCTCTATACTGAAATTTTCTGATGAACATAAAGATGGGTCATGTTTTTTCATCCAATAAGACAATCTCTACCCTCTAGCTAGAGTGCTTAGATCTTTACAATTAATAAAATCATTTAAATGGTTGGGTTCAAGTATTTTATATTACTTTGCTTTCTAACTGTCCCATCTGCTTTGTTTTTTTTCCTATCTTCTTTTGATTTTGCTTCATTAGTGTATTAGCTATACCCCTTTATTTTTTAAGTGGTTTGCTGTACTGTTTACAATTGCTACCTTCTATTTATTAATAACATACCACTTCTTATTGTAACAATTCACATACAAGATAAGAATCTCACACCGTATACTTCCATCTTCCCTCAACATCCTCTGTTATTGTATATGTTAAAAATACCATTATTTTTGCTTTTAAGAGCCAATTATTATGTTTTTGGGTTTTGTTGTTGTTGCTTTAAGTTTTAAGCAAAGGAAAGCTGCTTCTATATTTGCCACATACTTACTGTTCCTGGTGCTCTTCATTCTTTGATGAAGATCTGAGTTCCCACCTGGTATCATTTTCCTTCTGCCTTAACAAATTAAACATTTCTTGTAGGGGACACCTAAAAGAAAATTCTTTCCGCTTTGGTTGGTCTGGAAAAAGTCTACTTTGCTTCCATTTTTGTTTCCTCTATGGAATTTTAAGTTGACCAACTTTTTTCCCAATACTTCAAGGGTGTCACTCCTGTCTTCAGGCCTGCGTCATTCCTGATGCGGGCTTGGCTATCACCCTTACCTTCATTTACCTGCATGGAATGCATCTGTTTTTTGTTTGCTTTTAAGACTTCATTCATCACTGCTTTTCAGCAATTTGATTATGACATACTCTGGAGTTATTGGAGTTATTTTTTGTCTGTGTATTCATTCTTCTACATCTGCTGAGTGTCACAGATCTGTGGGCTTGCACATTTCAACAAGTTTAGAAAACTTTTAGCCATGATTACTTCAAGTGTTCTTCTGCTTTCCTCCCCCTTTTCTGAGACTCCAACTACATGTATGTTACACCACTCACTATTACCCAACAGGCCTGCGAGGGTCTGTTCACTTCCCCCCCCAGCCTCTGGCCATCTGCGGGCTGTTTCAGTGTCCGCCTTCTTCTGCGTGGCCTGGAGTCTCAGGGTCATGGTGTCTCACACCCCTGCTGTGGAACATACTGTTGTCCATTCGTCTCAAGCCTGGATCTAGACACCCTCTGGGACATTACTGTCCCCTGAGGACACCTGCAGACCCCATTACTAACAATATTCATCATACAGAAACTGATGGGTGAATTATTTTCATTCAATAAGTAACTCTGAAGTTATCCACACCACCTATCACCTGTGTAAGGGAGCCTTCAGGCTAGCAGCAGAAACTGCACAGGAAAATGCCAGACATGACACGTGCACCGCAAGAGAGGGGCAAAAGTCAAGCAGTGCTGCCCAAGCCGAGTGTCCAACCGGCCCTGCAGAGCTGCTCCCTTGGCCTTGCCATACTGGCCACCTCCAAGGGCTGCTTTTGTGGGACTCGGCTTTGACCAAGATGCCCCTGTGGAGAGGTGCTATGAGAAGCAGCACACTGAGGACAGTCAGCCCCACGCCCTCCCTTTTCTGAGACAAAACTCCCACCAGTGAGACGTGCATCTCCTACACACCTGGGTCATCTCTGTTACATGTTCTGAATCAGTTTCCTCCTCAGCTGCCTTCTAGAAAGCTGAGCACTATAGTACGTGCAGCTCTCCAACGGCAAGCTACCCACGCCCCTGATGCATACTTTGGGTTCTAACCTCCTTCCCGATCCCATCTGATGTTCCTGCCCATATTTCCCTTTATCTCAATTTTCTAAGCTTAATTTTTTTAAAGAGATCAAATTATAAATAATTTATATTGCAGATGAAGAGATGACATTGAGCTGACCAAATTAACCTATAATCAATATAATACTTGCTGAGAAATAAGAAAAAAGGGAGGAAACAACAGTATAAAGCACTAATTTGTTTTTTTTTTTAAAAGTCTAAATAAAATTTAAATCTATGTACAATAATGGTTATGTTCCAGTAAGAAAAAAGTATTTTCTCAGAGATAAATTTCCATGGAGTTAACCATCTCTAGTGAGAGAATTTCTCAAGGAAAAGAGTCTGAAGTTCACATCATGGTGAACAAAGAAAATCTAATACAGCTCCAGAGAAACTTTCAAAATACTCAAAATCTGTTCCTGATAACCAAAACCAAAATAATTTGAATTCAGGAATCTTTACTGATTTACTCAAGATAGAGGACTTGTTAATCATACTGAGGAAAATACTTTCCCTCAAGTAACTGGAGACACATCGTTCTCTCGTTCCCTGAAACTGATGTTGGTCCCCCATTTATTCCACACAGGGGTGGGGTTGGGGGAGTGACAGTCTTTGTGGCTGCTCCCCAGGACAAAACAAAACACAGGCATGACATGCTTCTGCCTCAGGGAGTCAAATGTCTGTTTATTAAGGTAACTGGCCACATAAGTAACTTTTAACAACATTTTCAGTATAAAACGGGTTTATATTTCCTTTCTGGAAATTCATGTTTTGTACAGTGCTTTGGTCATGGCTGGGGTTTCTGGGGACAGCGGCCACACGAGGGGCAGACCTGGACAGTTACAGTCCGTCTGCTGCTGCCCCAGTGGGGGGCAACACATGAGCCCAAAGAGCAAGAGCAAACCCAGCGGATTCCAAAGGGACTCCATACAGCTCCTGCAGCCAAAAAACCCCTCATTTAAGAATGTATGGGTAAAGTGTTGACACTCGACAGGCACCTGCTAGATATTACCTGCACATACACAGCTTGACCGGGCCCTGCAGGGCTTAGGGGAGGATGAGACCACCTTGGGGCAGAGGGTGAGAGGCCGGTGGAAGGAACAGCCCGAGCCACAGCCCTGAGGAGGGAGAGCCGGCAGCAGCACACGGGGCCACGAGAGCCGGGCAGGAGGACCAGGCGGCACAAAGCCTCAGTGAGGGCCCTGGACCCTGCACCACGGCAGAGGGGTGGACCTGAAGGGTCCAGGCAGGGAATGACAGGATCAGAGGGAAACCCAGACATAGCACTCTGGCTGTCTGAGGAGGATGGTGGGTCAGGGGAGAGGCTAGGGGCTGCCACCTACCTAGGAGGTAGTGGGGGTAGAGAGGAAGAGACTGAGGAGCTGGGCTGGGCCCTAGGATGGGCGCAGAGCCAGTCAGGGCAGCAGAGTTGACACTAGGCCTGGGTCTTGTGCTCATCAGAGCACTGGTGGCCCCTCACAACAGCCAGAGGAGAATAGCCCTGAGCACATGAGCTGCTCATCCACATGTGTCAAAGGCAAAGCCAGGACCCGAATTTCCTATCCTTAGCCCTGTATCCACACCAGCCAGACCAGACAGGGTTCAGAGACTGAAGGGAATCCAGGTGTGCCGAGAGGTATCACCCCAGAAACCTGGCCCTTGCTTCAGCTCAGAGCATGTCCCCATGACAGGGGCTGGCAGCAGCCCTGGGGGTGCCCTGGGCATCTGCCTGGGTCTCAAGGGTGTCACACTACCCAGCTGGCCTGGTGGGTGCCCACTGTCCTGGCACACAGCAGTGCCACATGCAGCAACCACCATGGCCCCCCTCTACCCCATCCCTGTTACTCTCGGCCTCTGGGTGCGTTCTGTCTCAACAACTACAAACCCCAGAGGCGCTGATGCTGGCACCCACAAACTGGCTGAACTGCAAGGCTACGTGGGCGAGCTTATGGTCTGGGGGCAGGATTGGTGCCATGCTCAGATCTCCACATTGCAGAACAAGGGGACCCCACCCCACTCCCCACTGGGCAGCTCACGGAAACACACTGCATGTGACATTGTTATGCAGCCACCATCACTTCCCTCAGCCCAGCAGACAGAAGATGCAAGAGCAGCCGAACTAGGGGTGAGCCAGCCCAGAGCACCCTCCCCAACAGCACCAGGCAGGAAGCAGGCCAGGAACACCCACTCCTCTTCCAAGAACTAGGTTATTGGTCAAGAAACCCTATCCCACCACTCACTGGGAGGACGTGCGCCCAGGTACTGTGGGATGCTCTGTGCTGCCTCAGCTGTCACAGCCCACCTTGTTCCTCTCCTCCCCCAAGATTGACAAGCTATTTGCAGAACTAAACCTAAGAAAACTAAGTATCTAAAGACGCCAACTCTGCCCCATCCCTGCCTCGGGCCTGGTTCCCAGATTCACACCTGCAGAAGCAAAGAATGAGGGGAACTGGAGCCCAAGGTGTGGCTATGGGAGGACTCCCAGCACCCGGCAGAGATAGCTCAGCCTTGCCTAGAACATATGTGATGCCAGCGCTCAGCAGCCCCACAGGATCCTGTGCCTGCCACCCACCGGCCAGCCCAGGACAGGCAGGCATGCTCTCAAGGGTGGCCAGCAAGGGATCTCTCAGGATACAGGTGAGAGAAGCGGCCGAGGGCCCAGATAGGGAAGATGTTCCTGTAGTTCGTGTAGGTGATGGCACAGGACTTGTTGAAGACCCCAGCGAGGTTGCCCTGAAAGGACACAGAGAAATCAACACAAAGGCTCCACCAGGCAACTGAAAGGCTGTCCCACTGGCGTGGCTATCCCATGGGTGAAGCAGCCGTCCTGGAGATAGCTGACTGAGCCAGAGCACAGGAAAGCCACGAGCAGGTGTCCTCCTTGCCCTGTGCCAGTCACGGCATTATCAGCCCAGCTCGGGGACTCCCACCTGGCAGCAAACCCTCCCCACGTCACCAGCCCCTCAGAGCCAAGCCAGCTTCTACCACCCCAGCTTCATCTGAGGGGAGGGATGTCAGCCTCACAGGACCTCATAACCCCTTTGCCAGCAGGGACAGGCAGAGCTGCCTCCTGAACTTGCAGCTCAAGGAGGGCCATGTGCAACATGGAGGGTTTGTCCTGGAGAGGCTTTCCGAGCCCCTTGGCTTCTTACTGACCAGCAATTCCTTCAGCCAGAGCTCCATTTGCAAACAGCAAGATCTGTTCAGGACTTCAGGACCCGACAACCTGTCACAGACTTGCCACCAACTCTAGAGTTTACACATCCCAAATGCCCAGGTACCCCACGAGGGACAAAGGGGCAGGGTGTGGAAGTAAAAATGCTCGTGTAAATGAGGTCAGTGCTGGGGACTTGTGCTCCCAGAGGCCTCTGGCGGCATACCTGGGGCCAGTCACCATTGGGGAGCTGTTTTTCAAGCAGACACCTGACTCCTCTCTCTTGGGCTGCTACATCAGGATGCCTGGGGGAAGAGGAGACAGGCTGAAACACACTGGCATACAGTCAGTGTAAACATATATCCTTACCCTCATGCAGCTGAGCACCAGGACAAAACTGGGAACGCTGTGGTGACAACAATGGATGACCCTAAACTGACACACACAGAATGAACGGTCAGCGCACCACAGGCTCTCACTGCACATCTTCTCTCCAGGTGCCCCAAGAAGTGGAAGGCACAACAAGCACAGAGACAGCAGGCCAGGCGGGGCATACGCCTCCTTCAAACCTGCCCCAGCAGCCCTGGCACAAGGTGCTGCTCCTCTGTCCTCCAGGAGAGGAGGTCAAGCCTCATGCCCATCAGTCCACTGGTTCCCATGGGCCTCTGAAGGCCACAGAAGCCACAAGAACTGATGCTCGTTTGCTGGCAAGGATGACACACTAGAGGACTGAGGATTGCAGGATCCAGCTCGGCTATGGGGGGCTGACAGGGAGGAGGGGCCTGTCTCACCCTCAAGGTCCCCCCAGACTCTGTTGCTGCTGCTCATACCAACCTGGCCGCAAACCCTGAGAGGGTTTTAGGAAGATTCCCCAAATGGCCACAAATCTAATAGGGCATCACAGACTGGGACTCCAAGTACACGTCTGTGTGTGCATACATCTGTATGCATGTACCTGTGTGTGTGTCTACATCTGCGTATAATACGTGTGCATATGCATACATCTATGAGTGCAGTCTGTGTGTGACACATGTATATATGTCTATGCTGTATCTGTGTGCAGTCTGCATGTGCACACGTGTATACATGTCTGTGCTATATCTGTGTGCGGTCTGAATGTGCATACATGTGCAGGCACCTGTGTATACAGTCCATGTGTGCATACATCTGTGTGCATGGGTACACCTGCATGTGCATAGTCTGTGCGTGCTCATGTGTGCATGTGTACATCTGCATGTATCTGCATGGGCATGCACCTGTGCACATATGTGGCTCAGCACCAGCTGTGGACACAGGAGGGCCACAGAGAGCAGTTGCAGGGACTTGGGCTCTGACCACCCAGGCAGCCACCCTCACTGTCACACCAGGAAGCAGCTTCCCCATCACAGTCCCCTCACCCAGTTTCCACTGGGTCCCATTTCCATCCTTCTGTCAGCCTAGTGCTGGTCATGACACCTTCACTGGTGGGTTGTTGACTTCTAAGAGATGAGCTCTGCAGGGTCCCACACAGTCAGATGGGCCCACCGCCTTGCCCTGGGAACCTGGGATGTGGCTCTTGTAGGCGTGTCCATTCCCAGAGTGGCGGCTGGACAGGGGCACAGGCCACCTGCTCGCAGTTGAGTATCCCTCCTCCACCCAGCCCCAAGGCTCAGGGATAGTTCCCACAGCCCTCACCTGACGGCCATCAGCCCCATCAGGGCCCAGCATGTGTTGTGGATCTGGGACTGTGCACTCTGCACATAACGCTGTTGCTCACAGGACTTGAACTCCTCTCCCCAGCCTCCATCCGCCATCTGCCGAGACAGCAGGAAGTCGCAGGCTCGGGAGACCTCTGCACAGGCAGCCCTGCAGAGACCAGGAGACAGGAAACACCATTATGCCAGGGAAGATCCCAGGCCTCCTGGACTCTCAACCTGGCATGACCTTAGGTCATGGGGAGGGGCGCTGAGGGGAATCCCCACACTTTGGACCACCATTTAAGCCCCTGACCTCATTTTCCACAGATGTGAAGTGGGGATAGATACCCGCCTCCTGGAGTTGTTGGAAGATAAAGTGAAATGCTTTGTAGCTGCAGATGGCCTCACTGACATGACAAGTTAAGAAGTCAACAGTGTTTGGGGGACACTTGAAAAGAGACCCGGGAATGCCCGGAGTTGTGCTGGCCCCTGAATACCGCACAGCAAAGCAGAGCTGGGACCAGAGGCCTCCTCCCTTCTCTTAACCCAGCCCAGCGAGTGTCCCAGAGAGCTCTGGAGAGCTGTAGGGTAACACCTCAGCAGAGGCTCAGGAGGTGGGGACACCCTCACTCCAACCCAGGACTCACACATTTTCTGGAACACTGATCTTATCTGACCATTTAAAAATACTAAGAACACCACCCATGCAGAGTGTCATGCTGAGAACACCCCCACCCACTAGCGGCACTCACCCGTCTCGGTAAGTCTGCCCCATGCAGGCAAAAGCCTCCAGGCCAAACCAGGTGCCATAGGTGAAGCAAACCCCCCAGGAGCTGGGGAGAGAAAGGAGGGGAGAGCCTCAGTCCTTCAATTCACAACAGGTGTACAATATGACAGGCATCCTGCCTGGATTGCTGGAACACCCTCCAGCAGAAGAGGCAGGGGCTGTGTTATGTTCAAGACAAACATTCACGTGTGCACACACACCTGCCTGTACATGTGTCTGTGTGTGTGTGTGCCCTGCAGCAAGCCATGGCAACTCCAGTGCCTCAGGCCTTACAGTCACTTAGAACAGTACTGCCCCAGCTGGCTCCACCTGCTGGACCCACCAACCAGACACTTAAGAGCTGATACAAACAACCAGATGATGAGGGGACAGTCCCACTCAGGCCTGAGCATGTCCAACATATGCAGTCCAAATGTCTGTAGCAACATGCTGAGCAGTTGCCACCAAAGTAAAGACCAGGCATTCAGAAAAGGAACACAGCCCGCCAGACACTCACTGGCTGGCATCTTACTTCCAGAAACTGGCATCTTACTTCCAGAAACTTCTGGCGTAGCACGAGCTTACAGCCAAAGACCCCAGGACCACAGTGTGTGAGAGCAGAAATCCCTAGTCCCGCACATCTGCTCCCACGGACAGGGGCTCACTCACCCTTCCCAGGAGCCGTCAGCCCTCTGCTTCCGCCGACAGAACTCCAGGCCCTGCTCGAGGGTCTCCCTGGAACACAGGAGGTTGAACAAATGAACATTCTAGCAAAATAGCAATTTTCCTATTATGCCAATTCCACTCATCCCACAATTTCAAGAGAACATGGTCTCCATTTAAAAATATGTAAAAATAAACAGTTCAGACAGAAGATACAAGGGTTTAAAAAAGAAGTAACTAGAGGACACAGGAGGGGGTTAGCAAACTGGCAGATTTCAACAAAGAAACACAAGAGAAAAAAACAAAACCTCAGGGATGAAGCCCACATTAGGGCTGCTACAAACAGGATCAGTGTCACTGAAAACCATGTCAGTGACACAGGCTTGAGGAAATCATACAAAATGAACTAAGTTAAAAAAAAAATAGATTAGAGAGAAAATGATGGATTTAGAAGACAAAAAAGATCCATTCTAAATCTAACGTGGTACTTTCAGAGAATAACTGGTTCTCTGAAAAGGCTGGAAGGAAGCATCCACAGGGACCCCCCAGGACCCTGTCTCTTGCTGTCCACACCTGGGGACATCCTGCTGGGTCTGTGACTTGTTTCTTAACCAAAGGATTACAGCAAAATTGACGGTATGTCACTTGTTACATGAAATTGTAACTTCCGTCTCACTAGTGGACTTCCTCTCTCTACTGACTCCTTTGCTGGTTTATAAAGCCACACATATAGCAAGGCCTATGCAGCAAGAAACAGACAGCAGCTTCCAGCCCACAGACAATCCATAGGGCATGGAATCTTGCCAACAACCACATGAGCTTAGAAGTGGATCCTTCCTTAGTAGATTACCAGATGAGACTGCAGTCCTGGCTGACACCTTGTCCGAGTCTGGTGAGACCCTGAAGCAGAGGCCCCCCACACTGCACCTGGACTCCTGACCCACAGCAACCATGAACTAACAAATACACACTGTTCTAAGCTGCTGAGTTTGTAGTAATCTTGTTACTCAGCAGTAGGTAACTAATACAAAGAGAGAAGGTACAAATAAATAGTATTAACAATAAAAAGAGTGATATTACTATAGATACAGTGTAAAATAAAAAGAGAAAATAGGAAAACTTTATGCAATTCAATTGGAAACTTAGACAAAATGTACAAATTACCTTACAAATAAGGAAAATTAACTTATCAAAACTGCCTCAAGAAATAGAAAACCTAAATATTCCTAAAACTACTAAAAATATGAGTCAAAAGTGTAAACTTTTCTTAGAAAGAAAACTCCAGGTCTGGGAGTTCTATAAGTAAAATCTATTAAATTATCAAGAACACTCCTCCTAATCTTATACAAGGTGAGAAAACATGCTTTCCCACTTAGATCAGGAACAAGAGTCCTCCTCTCACCACTACTCCTCTTTTCTTTTTGTGGCTGGCCAGTACAGGGATCCAAACCTGTGACCTTGGTGTTATAAGGCTATGCTCAAACCTACTAAGCTAACCAGCTAGCCCTTATTACTATTTTTCAACAGAATAGTGGAAGTCCCAGCAAATGCAATAAGACAAGAAAAGGAAATAAAAGATATACATATTGAGAAGGAAGAAATAAAACTGTCTTTGCTCACAGGTGACATGATTGTCTATGTAGAAAATCCCAAAGAATCAACAACCACAAAAAAACAGAACAAAAAAAACCCCCAACTTCCAGGAACTAATAAGTGATTATAGTAAGGCTGCAGGACATAAGGTTAATGTACAAAAGTCAATTAATTGTTTGACTACAAGCAATGAACAGCCAGATTTTGAAACTAAAAACACAATGCCATTTACGTTAGCACCAAAAAAATGAAATACTTAGATATAAGCCTAACAAAATATGTACAAGATCTAGTTGATGAAAACTATAAAATTCTGATGAGGAAAATCTTCCAAACTGAGCTATAGACTCAATGCAATCCCAATAAAAATCTCAGCAACTTATCTTGAAGGCATCAACTAACTGATTCTAAAATTTACATGGAGAAGCAAAACACCCAGAATAGCAGACATATTACTGAAAGGGAAGAATAAAATGAGAGAGCTGATGTTACTCGACCTCAAGACTCACTGCACCACACAGTAACCAGACAGCACGTTACTGCTGAGAAAACAAATAGGTCAATGGAACAGAACGGAAAGCCCACAAATAGACACACAGAAACATGATCAACTGGTCTTTGATAGAGGACAAAGAAAATTCAGTGGAGAAACGACAGTCTTTTCAACAAACGGAGGTAGAACGACTGAACATCCACAAGCAGAAAAGTGAATTTAGACACAGACCTTACACCCTTCTCAAAAATTAAGTGAAAATGAATCACAGACCTAAATGTAAAACACAAACTCCTAGAACATAACATGAGAGAAACTCCTAGAACAATCTAAAACTCCCAGAATACAACATAAGAGAAAAATCTAGTAATGATAAAATTAAAAAAAAAAAAAATTCTAGGTAACCTTGAGTTTGGCAATAACTTTTTAGGTACACCAAAAACATGATCTGTGAAAGAAAACACTGATAACCTGGAGTTCATTAAAATGAAAAACTTTGGATGTGCAAAAGATATTAATAGAATCAAAAGACAAGCCACAAACTGGGAGAAAAAATTTGCAAAAGACACATCTAATAAAGGACCGTTAGCCAAAATATACAAAGAACTCCTAAAACACAATAAGAAAATAAACAACCCAATTAAAAAATGGGCCAAAGACCTTAACAGTCACCTCACCAAAAAGATACAAAGATGTCAAATAAATTTTTGAAAACTTTTTTTTTTTTAAAAGATGACCGGTAAGGGGATCTCAACCCTTGGCTTGGTGTTTCAGCACCACGCTCAGCCAGTGAGCCAACCGGCCATCCCTATATAGGATCCGAACCCGTGGCCTTGGTGTTATCAGCACCACACTCTACCAAGTGAGCCACAGGCCGGCCTGGGACCCCTGATTTTCTAAGGTGGGATATTTAATACTAAATAAGTCCCTGTGGCCAATATGATCTCACAGCCCAGGAAACACGTTGGGGCCTGTAGTGAGATAACAGAAGAGCCTGGCACGTAGCTCAAGACAGGGCTGCCATGGGAGGGGGAGGGAAGTGCCACTAAGTCCTACTGTGTGCCAGGTACCAATGTGTGGTGACTCGTTGATCCTCAGAGCGACTGAGCCAGATGCAACTGACTTCACTTTGCAATTGGGCACAAGATGAGATGTTGGCGACCTGCCCACATACCCGCAAAGAGGCAGAAGTACCTGCTGGCCAGCAGGCAGGCTGCCAAGGTCCTGCCATGACCCTGAGAAAGTTTTCCCTGGGAGGCCATCCTGGGGGTTCTCTGTCTGCAGAGGCAGCACACATCCCTGCTATAGACTCAATGTTTGTGTCCCCCTAAATTCATATGTTGAAACCCAGTCCCCAAGATGATGGTAATAGGAGCTGGTGTCTTTGGAAAGTGATTAGGTCAAGAGGGCAAAGCCCTCATGAATAGGATGAGTGTGCTTATTAAAGAGGCCCCAGAGAGCTCCTCACCCCTTTCACCATGTAAGGATACCAAGACAGTCGTCATCTATGACCAGGAAGTGGGTCCTCACCAGAACCTGACCATGCTGGCACTCTGATTTCTGACTTCCAGCCTCCGGAACTGTGAGAAATAAATTTCTGTTGTTCATAAGGCATCTAGTCTATGGTTTGGTTTTCATTATAACATCCTGGACAGACTAAGACAGGACCCTTCAAGGAAGAGCCAAGAATGTCCTGACCGCTGCTTTGTAGAGAAAGCTTTGCAGGCTCGTCCTGCTAGTACTGTAACTCAAGGAAGAAGGGACTTCTACCTCCTCTAGGCCAGTGGTTCTTAGAGTGTGGTCCCTGGACCAGCAATAGCATCTAAGAACTTGTTAGCAATGTAAATTTTGAGCCCCACCCCCAAAGTTTCTGCTTTAGTAGGTCTATGCTGCGGCCTGAGGTTTTGGCCTTTCCAGATGCAGCTGGTGCCGTGATCTGGACACCACACTCTGAGAACCATGGCCCTAGAGTGAACACTAGACCCTCTGAGCAGACATAACCACCTTGCCAGGAAACAGGCTTTGAAGGTAGGATAGGATTAAACGCTCTAAGGATATGGCCCTGCTCCCCGCTCTTTCCAGAGGAAGCTGAGCCAGAGCTCTTGATGGCTTCCTAAGGCTGTCTGAGCAAACCCCCACTCGCCCAGACACCAAGGCCCAATCACTGTAGTCAGGGCCCTGTCACCAGCCCTGGGCCACAGCAAACCACAAACACCCAAACCTGGAAGATTCCTTAGAGGCGACTGCATGTCCACCGTTCTACCACCATTACCAAAAGGCAGAAGGAACTCCAAGTCCAGACAGACTGGATTCTTGGCTGTCCCCAGACATGCCTCCTGTTTTTGTTTGTGCCATCCCTTTGCCCAGAATGACCTTGCCACTCTGCCCTTTCATGCCTGTCTCTACCGGGATGCCACATTCTCAACAGATTTCTCCTGCCTCAATTGTCCCATCTCCCTCCTTGCAGCCATCCCACCCCAGGCCCCACTTATTTCACATTCCCTCCCCTGGAAATCATGCTCACTAAGGTTACCAGTGACCCCTTAATTACCAAGTCCAATGGCACATTTCAGTCTTTACCTCATTTGATCTGTGTGTGTATGTGTGTGTATGCATGTAAAATTTGGCACTGTAGGCCACTTGGGAAGTCAACACCGTGGCCTTGGTGTTATCAGCACCGCACTCTACCAAGTGAGTCACGGGCCGGCCTAAATTTTTTTTTTTTCCTTTTTGTCTTTTTTCGTGTCCGGCAACGGATCGCAACCCTCAGTGTCGCGCCCGTACCGGACCGGGACCGGCAACGGGATCACAACCCCCAGTGTCACACCCGCACCTCGCTCAGCCAGTGAGCGGGAACCGGTCTGTATGTGGGATATGAACCCT